GATAGTAAATGTGTACAGTATCAAACTACTCTTGTATGACTGAGGAAATCTGTGACTTATTCTTAAGAGTTCAAAAACTGTTCTGACAAAGCTGGGGTGACCAGTCCTAATAGAAGAGGAGGAGGAGGAGGAGAAGAAGATTGGATTTATACCCTGCCTTTCACTCGGGAGTCTCAGAGTGGCTTACAAACTCCTTTCCCTTCCCCACAACAGACACCCTGTGAGGCAGGTGGGGCTGGGAGAGCTGACAGAAACTGCACTTTTCAAGAACAGCTCTTATCAGAACTATTGGCTTGCCCAAGGTCATCCAACAGCTGCAAGTGTTGGAGTGGGGAATCAAACCCGGTTCTCCCAGATTAGAGTCCATGCACTTAACCACTACACCAAACTGGCCCTTTATTTATGCTTCCCCATATGAGGCATATAGCTGTGTGTGGGATTCAGCATGGTGTAATGGTAAAATATTATTCAATGGAGTGGGGAATCAAACCCGGTTCTCCCAGATTAGAGTCCATGCACTTAACCACTACACCAAACTGGCCCTTTATTTATGCTTCCCCATATGAGGCATATAGCTGTGTGTGGGATTCAGCATGGTGTAATGGTAAAATATTATTCACAAGGGTAGGAATGATGCTTAGTTCTGTTGAGCTAGAAGTATATAGAGTGCTGAATGTTGGTATAAGCTTAAATCCTGTTCAGCCCTGAACTTCCTGGGTGGTTCTGGCAAGTCCCATGCTCTCTCAACTCAGCTTTCTATCTACTGAAGACTAGCTCAGAAGCTGTGGCAATGAGACAGCTTGGTGCACTACCTTACTGAGATATGGCTTTTTCATGACAAGAAGACAGCATCTTGTTCAGTGCATACACCTTCCAAACACATTTTGTCTTTGGTAGGACAGGGGAGGGTCAATATCCTCCAATCCTGTACCATCTCAAGAAAAATGGAGAGCCCTGACCTTTGCAGAGGCTCAGTCTCCCCTTGTTTAGAAAGAGGAGACAAAACTCCTACACATGCAGTGAAAAAAAGCCTTCTATGCAAATCCTTTCCATTGGCAGGAAGGATAAAATATAATGTGTCCTTACCACACTAGTCTGGACCTACATTGAACATTAGCTAAAACAAGCTGTAAGAAGAATTCGACAGTGGAACTCCATGCTTAGGGAACTCATGCAGCTTCTATCACCAGAAATCAGGATTTTATTTTTTTTACAGCATGAGATTTCCTATTATTGTATCAGCCTAAATGGCCTGTGAGATACCTTTTGATTTTGTTTCTTCGAAGAGATCTGTTGCATTTCCCTCCAGGGTGGTACTTTCTTGTTCCACCAAAGCATCTCCCTCAATAACAGCAGATGCTGCCAACAGTTCTTGTAATTCTGCCTTCTCTGAAACAGCCACCCCATCTGACAGACTTGCTGGTGTGTTCTCTCCCAGGGAGGCAGGATCAGCCTGAGGCGCTGCTAACCAGTACAGCAATTCAGTGCCAGCAGCAATAGGAGAACAAACCCGGATGTCGATCTCTCCATTGAGACACTCCAGTGTCACATTTGCCGCCTCTTCATTCCAGCTTTGCTTCACCAGACTGCAAAACATGCCATACCAAGCAACAGCAGCCAATTTAGGATCAATCCAAAGTACAGAAGTTACACAAGGAAACAATGCTCAAGAGACAGCTTTGCTCATCTGGGGGGGGGGGGGAGAAAGCCTTTCTAATAAACAAGCCCTTTATTGACAGCCTCACTTCTTAGGTACCTAAGGTTAATATAGAACTATTTTGACAGTGGAGCACAAGGCACCTTAAAACCTTATCTTTCAATACATCTTTTAAAATACCGGGAGTGAGAATTACATGCCTGCTTGGGAGCTAGACCTATGTGCTGAAGGAAAGAATAATTAGGCCATTCTTTACATATGAACATATGAAACTGCCTTTTACTGAATCAAAGTCAGTATTGTCTACTCAGACTGGCAGCGGCTCTCCAAGGTCTCAGGCAGAGGCCTTTCACATCACCTACTTCACATCACCACATCTTTTAACTGGAGATTGAACCTGGGATCTTCTGCATGCCACGCAGATGCTCTGCCACTGAGCCACAGCCCCTCCCTTTGTTGGACGGGGCTCAGACTCCTCTGAACAAATCCAAATTCTGCTCCAAGGAAACCCAAAAGGTGAATACAGATGACCAACTTACTACATGGGAAATGTTCTTTGTTTTTAAATGTGCTAAAAAGTGTTGCAATAGAGAGGTTTTGCAATATTCTGGGTTGCCGAAGCTCTACTCCAGCTATAGACTTGTTCTGGTATCATGGACTGAAGATGTTAATTCCCCCTTTATGCACTGGTGCAGCATTTTGTCACTACTTACTGGTCTTTTTCTTTTTCTTTTAAAAATACATAAGGGATTTTTTAAAGTCCCAATTGCATTTAATTTAAATTATCCATGCAGATTTTCCACAAGTATTCTTTACTTAAGTGGCTTTTGCTTTATTTTTAATGGTGGCTCTCTTGTGAGCATGCACCAAACAAAAAAGGGGGCGAGTTCATTCCAAAGGCTGACTTTATCAATTAAAATCAATATTGTCTACATACACATCTACCTGCCTCTCAAACCATCATACTATACATAAGCAAAATGAGATATCAAGGTAGGATTTTTCCAATGAAAAACACCCTCGAATATCTCACCAGTGAAAAGGTTCATACAAATCACATGAACAAACAAGCACTTGTCATTATGAAATTTAAAAATAATGGAGAAAAAGGTGAACAAAACATTTCTTAAAAGTAGACTTGAATACAATCAGACATGAATACAAATAGTATTAATATTAATACATTAATTTTAAAAAATCAAGTTGCTTTGTGATCAAGTCCAATTTTTAATAAAATGCGTCATATAGGGATGGGCATGAACTGCATTTGTTTTTTGGCCCCCCGGAGGAGATTTTTTATTGCATTTTCTATAGACTACAAACTACAATAAAAAGGGAGGGGACAATTACATCTAAGGAGAAAGGAAAGAAAACCACTAATAACTAAAACCCCAAGTATAGGACTGCATTTTTGTTTTGTTTCCGTTTGTAGCTGTAGCGTCCTCTTATTTGGGAGGACTGGTTTTCACTTTAAATGTGCTCTTTGCTTTTGTAAACTGGGTAGTTTCTGCTGCCACCAAGAGTTTAAGGAATTCCAAACCTTCTCTCCTTTGCTGTTGGTAAAGTGACCTAGAGCTTGGGCTTTTCAGAGGTCTCTGTAGCCCTGAGGAAGGATTGAACTGAATTCTGGGTTAAACTTAAACAAAATAGGATTTATTGAAATAAGAACAAAATAAGATGCTGGTTAACTTTAACTGTTTTGGGGAAGAGAAACTCGTAAAATAAGCTGGCAAGGTATCACACACAGTCTTTTCATCATCAGATTCCTCTCTGACAGGAATCACTCTTTCACTGGATAGCCACACTGGCAAAGCTCTTTGTATTTTTGACTTTCTTTCAGATCTTTGGAGTTTCACTTTTGAAGACATATATACTGCACTCTAAACTCTTTAATTTTCCACATAGACTCTGTTCGCTCACTGACTGACTCTGACTCCAACTCAAAACTCCAACTGATTTCTCTAACTGACTTTCATAACTGACTGACACATCCACAAAGATTCACTTCAAAAACTCCTCCCACACTCTCTCATCCTCCAATCACACCACAGTTGTCTCCCTCAATCACTCTACTCTGCTATCACTGCACTCCAACCAAATATTTAAAGAGACACACACACTCTTAAAACAAGGAATCATTACAGTAGCCAAATCATGAACCTATAGGAACCAGGAGGTTGGTTCGTAGCGGTTCGTGACCCCTGCTTTCTGCTCCCTGCTGCTTTTGGTTCTTCATGAACCGCCACAAACTGCCTTAAAGTTTGTGGAAGTTCGTGAACTTCAGTTTGTGAACCACAAACTGCCCAAAATTCGTCATGAACTTATGTTTGTGAGCCAGTTTGTGGCCAGTCATATGCTTACTGTAGCAGAAAGATAAAAGTACTATAATATGGTAAATATTAAGATTTGATTTGCACATAATTATAAACTTAGCTTCTAACAAGGTCTGGTTTATAATCAGAATGCATGAACTCACCCAACCAACTTATTATAATTTGAGCTATTTTACCCAGCCACCTATCTCATCACGTGTATTATTTATTTAAACATGCTTGCATATTGCTTCAAGCCCAAGGTTCTCAGTGTCGTTTATGAACAAGAAAGGCTGTCAAGAAGACTATATTATCATCATATTTCTGTTCTTTTTACCTCTTCCAGCTGGATATCTTGTCACAAGCCTCTTTCCAGCAGGGTGATGGAAATATCTGACACAGAGAACAAGAAAAATCCTGATTAAAAAGTCACTGTAGATCCTAAGCCAAGAACTGAGCTAGCCTCTTTCTCTCAAGGCTGAATTCACACAATCAAACTGATATACTAAGGATGGTGGACCCATAAGAATTACACCTTAGTAACGTAATCACTTGTCACTCAACAAAGTTCAGAGAATCAGGTATTTTGAGGCTGCCTAACACATACTGCAAAAGAAATGCAACAAGTGTGGTGAACTGTCTCCCTGTCAATGCTTCCTCTAAGCTCTGGAGTCTTGTGAGCAAAAATTCTACTTTCTGAGCTACTGGCATTAAAGTTGTGAGCGAGCCATTTGGCCACTGCATAAATTAGTTTGCTCTGGAGCCCTCCTTCCTGAGCTAAGACAAAAATCTGTGAGCTGGAGGCTAAAAAACTGTGAGCTAGCTCACACTAACTCAGCTTGGAGGGAACACTGGCTCCCTGTAGTATCTGATGATGGAGTTGTCATTCTGTTGTAGCATCATTGCATGAATGAATGTTCTAGATATCTATTATATTTTTACTTGTCCTTCTTTTGACAAACACAAGGAGATGTACATGGCACTTCCCTCCTACATTTTACTTTTTCAACAACCCTGTGAGCCAGGTGAGGCAGTGTGGCTCTCTACTCAGTTGCAGTCACTCTGTAGTTATCCTTCAAGCAGTGTAATACTTGAAAGAGTCAGTATGGACTACTTGCTGTATGTGGGAGACCAAGCAATAAACTTTAAGGGTAGCCTTGGACAAGTCACTTATGGAAGATGATATGGTTCGGTTGTAAAGCACATGCCTTACATACAGAAGGTCCCAGATTCAATCTTCAGCATCTCCAGTTAAAAGATCATAAAAGAACCATGTATGCCACCCTGTGGATCACAATGTGTGGATCACAACAAACTATGGCAGGTCCTTAAAGAGATGGGAGTACCAGACCACCTCACATGTCTCTTGAGAAACCTGTATAAGGGCCAAGAAGCGACAGTTAGAACCGGATATGGAACAACTGATTGGTTCAGCATAGGAAAAGGAGTACGACAAGGATGTATACTGTCACCTTGCTTATTTAATATATATGCAGAGTACATCATGCGAAATGCTGGCCTGGATGAATCACAAGCCAGAATTGAGATTGCTGGGGATTGCATCACCATAGAGAAGAGAGAGCTTTTTTCCAGCTGTTCCCTACCTAGGCATGAAGTCTTCTGGAGCACCACACTAGCTGTTAAAAGTGTTAGGTAAGGATCTGTGGACAAGGATCTGGATCTGGGAGACCCTACTTTGTAAAGGTAACTCATTGGCGATAGGGTTGCCAGCTCCGGCTTGGGAAACTGGGCTGAGGCAAGGAGTGGAAAGCACATGGTGAGTTCCTGATAGAAGGTAAGGGATTTTTCTTTCTCCCTTTGCCTTCGTAGCTCCTGTGTGGGAGCTGAGAGAGAGCTGGGTTCTTTGTAGCCTGATAGAGAGTGGTTCTGTTTAAGTATGTTTGGGGCTGTTTGTGATCTGGGGGTTGTTGGAGGCTGAGTGAGTTGCTGTGGAGTGCTGTTGATTGCAAGCTCTGCGCCCTATTGTGCTGGGCTCTGCTGTGCTGGGCAGGAAGGAGCCTTTTGAAACAAAGGGCTGCTCCTTGCCAGAGGCAGAGCTGAGTCAGCTGTGCTGAGGCAAGGAGTGGAGAGCACATGGTGAGTTGCTGATAGAAGGTAAGGGATTTTTCTTTTTCCCTTTGCCTTCCTAGCTGCTGTGTGGCTCTTAGCCTGTGGGTCTTGCTTGGAGGCCTTGTAAAAACCTGAGTAGAGGGCTGCTACTGAGTTCTGGTGAGAGAACTGCTAGCAAGGTAGTCATTTGGTCAGTCTCAAAGTTTTCAGGGTACATCACCACAACAAGAGTTTATGTTGGACTTTGAGGGAAGTTTCTGAGGCTGTAGAAGATAGATTTGCTCCTAGGGAGATGGATAACGAAGGATCTATTCCAGTGATGTGCCAGGGTTGTGCCATGATAATTTTTCTGCCTTGCCAGGAAATGCATTATACATGCTGCAAGTGCAAGCTTATAAGAATTCTTGAGGAGAAGGTGGGAGAACTCGAGGCACAAATCTGTACACATGGCACTTCCCTCCTACATTTTACTTTTTCAACAACCCTGTGAGCCAGGTGAGGCAGTGTGGCTCTCTACTCAGTTGCAGTCACTCTGTAGTTATCCTTCAAGCAGTGTAATACTTGAAAGAGTCAGTATGGACTACTTGCTGTATGTGGGAGACCAAGCAATAAACTTTAAGGGTAGCCTTGGACAAGTCACTTATGGAAGATGATATGGTTCGGTTGTAAAGCACATGCCTTACATACAGAAGGTCCCAGATTCAATCTTCAGCATCTCCAGTTAAAAGATCATAAAAGAACCATGTATGCCACCCTTAATTCCTTGGAAGAAGCGTAAGATAAAGGGTACCAAATAGATTTACAGATATGGTCACTACCTTCAATGTAGGTAAGATGAGATGTATATTGGACTCCATAAATGATCAGTCTGAACATAGCCAAAGGATGATGGGGCAAAATGCATGGTAAACTGGACCCTTGAACCACTCTATAAGTGGAAGCTGGGTTCGTTACGGGAGCATGAAAGAAACAGAAAGAAGCAGTAAGATAAAATCAGGTTTCAAGACCCTTGTACCTTGCATCACCATAGAGAAGAGAGAGCTTTGGTCACCACAACTTTTTTCAGCTGTTCCCTACCAAGGCATGAAGTCTTCTGGAGCACTACACTAGCTGTTAAAAGTGTTAGGTAAGAATCTGTGGACAAGGATCTGGGAGACCCTACTTTGTAAAGGTAACTCATTGGCGATAGGGTTGCCAGCTCCGGCTTGGGAAACTGGGCTGAGGAAGGAGTGGAGAGCACATGGTGAGTTCCTGATAGAAGGTAAGGGATTTTTCTTTCTCCCTTTGCCTTCCTAGCTCCTGTGTGGGAGCTGAGAGAGAGCTGGGTTCTTTGTAGCCTGATAGAGAGTGGTTCTGTTTAAGTATGTTTGGGGCTGTTTGTGATCTGGGGGTTGTTGGAGGCTGAGTGAGTTGCTGTGGAGTGCTGTTGATTGCAAGCTCTGCGCCCTATTGTGCTGGGCTCTGCTGTGCTGGGCAGGAAGGAGCCTTTTGAAACAAAGGGCTGCTCCTTGCCAGAGGCAGAGCTGAGTCAGCTGTGCTGAGGCAAGGAGTGGAGAGCACATGGTGAGTTGCTGATAGAAGGTAAGGGATTTTTCTTTTTCCCTTTGCCTTCCTAGCTGCTGTGTGGCTCTTAGCCTGTGGGTCTTGCTTGGAGGCCTTGTAAAAACCTGAGTAGAGGGCTGCTACTGAGTTCTGGTGAGAGAACTGCTAGCAAGGTAGTAATTTGGTCAGTCTCAAAGTTTTCAGGGTACATCACCACAACAAGAGTCTATGTCGGACTTTGAGGGAAGTTCCTGAGGCTGTAGAAGATAGATTTTCTCTTAGGGAGATGGATAACGAAGGATCTATTCCAGTGATGTGCCAGGGTTGCACCATGATCATTTTTCTGCCTTGCCAGGAAATGCATTATACATGCTGCAAGTGCAAGCTTATAAGAATTCTTGAGGAGAAGGTGGGAGAACTCGAGGCACAAATCTGTACACCGAGGAACATTAGGGAGGAAGAAAGGTTTTTAGATGTGAAGGAAGAGGGGCTCCTGAGAGAACAGCAAGAGCTAGCAAATCCTAAGCAAGAGGAAGGAAGTAACAAGGAAAGAGGAGAAGGTGGGAGAACTCGAGGCACAAATCTGTACACCGAGGAACATTAGGGAGGAAGAAAGGTTTTTAGATGTGAAGGAAGAGGGGCTCCTGAGAGAACAGCAAGAGCTAGCAAATCCTAAGCAAGAGGAAGGAAGTAACAAGGAACAGGTGGGTGAGTAGAAGAATGTGACCTCAAGGAGTAAGATAATCAGAAAACATAGCCAATGAAGCTGAAAAATCGCT